CCTTTCAATTAATTATTGAAAACAATATGAGCTTAATTACAACATTCTGTCTTCCTAGTGTTAATGATCTTTGACTATCTCAAAATATTCTGTAAGTTAGATTTTTACTTTTCTGCTTGTTTTGTGAGTTGGTAGAGAGATGATTTTTCGCAACAAAAAGATAGATTGTTGAAATTCTAAGAATGTCGGGTCTATAAGTGTTATTATTACATTTGATTACATCTTGTCCTCCCAGCTGGGTTGTAAATTCCTAGAGGGCAGAGATTATATGTTATACCAGGATTGTCCTCTTTATACTCCACTGAACGTGGACTCTGAGGAGTTCATTACTCATCTCTGTTACCACATCCAATTGTCTTTTATAAATCTTTGATCAATTTTTCCTCTTGGAGACATTTGACATTGATTACTACTTCCTCTTTTTAGACTCTCTTTTAACTTCCTTAATACCATATTATCCCTTTATCTCTTTGAACTCTTCTCTGTTTTCTTAATTGGCTCCCTTTTTCTGTTTCTATTCCCTGAATGTGGGTGTTCTATGTCTAATTCTCACTCATCACACCTCTAAGAAGGGTTTCTCCTGTCTTGCCCCTTTAGTGGCTGTCGCTAGTACAGGGGGACCAGGACTTGGCCTTGGCTCTAGGACCTTGTGACACAGTAGGGAAGGGGCTCATGTCAGGTTCAGTGCACAGAGTTGAATTCAAACACATTCCTAGCAAGTCAGAATTCAGGCTTCAACTCCTCTTGTACAGGGATTTTGTACTAAACAGAATTATAACTTCAGGGTAACAAATGGTTCTTTGTATTCGCATCTATTTTTAGATGAGTAACTAACGACAATGACAGATCATGGTTCCTTGTTTAGCTGTAACCATCACAGGGCACGCTTTGTCACCACAAAGTAAAAAATTATTGTCTCCCTGTCTTCCATTTGTGGGTCCCCAGACTCATAATTATTTACTCCTTGGGGGTTTATGTATCTTTCAGATGAGTTAGACCTGTTATTTTAATTTTATAACCAAGTTAAGTGACTCTTAGCACAAATGAATAGCAACATATATCTTAACTTTTTATGTGACCTTGTCCTAAAGTAGTCTTGCTAGCAGGTAACACGGATTGCCACTTCCAAAGGTGTGTGTGTTAATGTTTATTACTTTATGCCTTCTTCTAGGAACTAGGGAAGTGTGGACATCAATTCAATCACCTCTGCTACTTAGAGGTGATTGAATTGATTGTGCCTGGTAGAGATCATTACTCACCTTTGAAAAGCAATACCACCACAAAGAATGCTCAAGCGTAATTTATATCTCACATCATCTTGTAATAAAAAAAAGATAAAGACAGGAAAACTACCATTCTTTTCATTTTTCTAATTAGAAAATTATAAATGTATCATTAAAAGAATAATTTTTTTTCCAACCCAGCCAACAGTTACCTATGATTAGTAGAAGTTCAACTTCTATTAACTCTATTCATACTTCCTATGGGTAAATGATTTGTAAAAGATTAAAATAAAATATAGAAAATAGTAAAATAACATTGAGAATGATTTGCTTTCTTTGTATATTTAGACAGTATTTGTGCTGGTGTGGGGCCTCATTGTCATCATCAATCTTAAGAATTTTTATTGCAGAAGCAAGGTTAATAGAGGTTTGACTGATGCAACTCACCTCTTTTAGTCTGGACACAACTCAACTTTTGAGTTGACTGTAGGCTGCTTTCAATCCACTGTTGCTCTCACCTCTGCAGAAAACTCACAAAGAGTCTAGAGAAGTTACTAGGGGAGAAAGCCCCTGTCCAGGGCTCAGTGTGTTGTGGGAAGAAAGTGACACATGCTGGACAGAGGGGCCTTCCTTATACAGTAGGTGCTGCCTCCTACTCCAGAGAGGTGTTTGGATCTTGCATCTCACATGGAAAATCATTGGGTTAAGTGATACACTCAGCAATCCTGTTTGCAAACTACTTCTGGTCATTGCAATGTTGGAAAATGTTGAAGCACTATCAGAATGGAAAAAAGGGTCTATTGTGTAGGTTTGATGATTTTTCTGGTATAAATACTCTCATAAGGCCAATTTCAAATTACTGATGATCTAACATCCAGCTCGTAAAATTCCTGAAAATTTCTTAGTTGGGTTTCTGCACTTGCCACATGACAACTCCAGGATTCTACCGAAACTCTTACTTTTGTAACTAATATCACAAGAAGAAAGAGATTTGTTTATTTTTTTAAGAGTTTTTTTTTAATAGATTTATTTATTTATTTATACAAGTACTGGGTACAGTCAGAAGCTTAGGAGGGTGAGAGAATTCACCAGAGCCAGAGCGGAGAGCAGAACAGGCAGACTGACGAAGTACACTGTTGAGGGGAGCAGCGGGTGAGACAGGAGAGGTCTGCGCACCATGTGGGACTCTCGCTGGGGGCCGGGGATTGAACCGGTGCTGCAGAGGCTGCTGGCAGCTTCTCAACCCAGTGCTCAACCGCTGCGCCACCAGGTAGGCCCGAGATTTGTATATTTTTAACATAACAGAAGAGACCTGAAGTACAGTAAACCCCCAAATTAATTGTAAACCACTTAAAAATAAAGGTTAAAATTTGTACCCAAAAAACTGTATGCCCAGAAAAGGACAAAGATAAAACACCCCAAAACAGTGATATGAATCTCCTTTGATTCAAAGTGGCTTATGTGCTCTATTTTATTGCTTTTACTAGGATTTATAGAGAGAGCATGAGTGTTTGTTGTGTGTTAGAGTCTTTAAAAAAATCTAAAGAAAAATTCTTTTTGCCTCAAAAGGCTAAATCAATGGAAGTCAACAGAATAAATGTCATTGCTTTTTACTTCCTTAACTTCAATGGTTTATAGGTTCATAAAAAGATGTTTCTGCCAATAATTAATTTATCTGAAAATACGAGCCTATTAAAATGATGGAATTGTATGATATTATTTGAATTGTGGCAGCTAAACCCATATTTTTAAATTTCAGGGAATATACAAACCCTGCTTCCCACTAGTATCACGTTACATGCTGTGTAATTTCTCTTAGGTATAATGACAAAGTTACTCCAGTGGTTCTGCCCTTTTTAACAGTGTTTTAATTCTTAAGACAGTATTATGGTAGCATTAATTAAAATGTTAAGAAAGGCACTTGCTTATAATTCCATTGTAATGTATATTACATTTTTCTTTGTTTTATATTGTTGTGTATACCTGTCGAATTAACATTAAATCACTATTTAATATAATTAGCATTAGATCATTAAATGTTTCATATTGTTAGTCTTCATAATATCATGGTCAGAGGTCTGTACTATCAATATATTGAGTTGTTTATTTATGATTGATTGAATTGAGATTATAGAGCTATTATAATCAGTATTATCCTAGGTGCTGACAATTTTGAAACGACTAATTTTATTACCTAAATGGAATAGCTGGACAATAGCTTGTCATCATATTGTTATTGGGCAACACAGAAAAGCCAGGGGACTGAAGACTGTTAAGGGCAATAAGCCATGTTACCCATTGTAAGGTCCTCATTTGCACCCATCCAAGCAGGGTAATCAAAGTCTAGTGTATGGAAAGATTTCTCATTGGCGAGAAGTTCAAAGGAGGGGAGGGCCTGAGGGAGAGTGAGAGAGAGAGGAGAGAAAAGAGAGGAGCTCAAACTCTGAAATCACCTCTAAGGTGGTAAGCAGGCACCCAGCTGAGCAGGCAGGGCCCAGAGCCCAGTGTGCAAAGCCCACCTGCAGGGTCTCCAGGAGACCAAGTCCAAGGTACATACTGGCAGGAAGGCTGGGTAGGGCCCAGTGAGCAGGGACAGGAGAGATCTGAAGTTCAAGATGTCCCTTCCAGTCTGGACGGTGGGTGCCAAGAGGTCAAGGTGACACAGCACTGGCTCTCCTTCCTCTGTTCCGCCCCAAAATATTCACCTTGCTCCTTCCCAGAAGGTGCCCCCCACCCCATTCAGGAAGCCTGGTCTATGGTATGCTGGGAGTTGTAATTCAAAGCACCTGAGATGTTTGTGGCATATAGATGGGCACAGGGAAAGTCTCACCCTTTTTGTGGCCATGGTGACGCTCTCCCCACTTCCTTGGGATGCACCCCATGATGATATGATGACCTCATTGGTGACACCAGCTTATCCGTGCTGAGGTAGCAAAAAAGGTTTACCAAATGTACAATAAATTCTCAGAATCAGACTTCTTTCTGCACTCCCAAACTAAATATTTTTGTAAGTAGCACTATCTCCTACTTAAGCTTCTTCCTCCAAAGCACGATTCTTCCATTATTCCAAAAACTTATAACCTACCTTATTTAAAATAATAAAAGCTAATTTTTGAATTAAATCAATACCTAGATGAAATATTAAAGAGTGACTGAACATTATTTCCATTTTAAATCACTTTCATAGTGTTACTATTAGCTATAGAAACTTAGATTTATTAGTACTTTACCTTCAATTCTCACAAAAATCCTCTGAGGTAGTCACTAATAACACCCCCTTTTACAGGGGAGAGATCAGGGGCACAGGGCAGTTAATTGACACTCCTGGTGTTACAGGTAACAGCCACAGCGCAGGATTCCAGTTGGCTTCTCTCTCTCTCTCACTAGACCGATGTTTAAGGCTGTCTCCATCTCAAAACACTCCCAGGAGACTTGACTAGAAGGGTGCGCGTCTTTCCAAACAGCTTGGAGTCAGTGGATGCGTGTGGCTCAGGTGCTGTTAGAGTATGGAGACAGTTTTCCTTTAGAATTTTGGGTTTGCTGGTTTGGGGGTTATTTTTCTTCCATCGTTTTGGATGTTTGAGAATTCCCTCCAGCCTCTGTCCTACCAGGGTGGCAGCGAGACCCTGCTGCCCATGAACCTGGTGACAGTGTCACCGCCTCCCGGAGCACATCCTGGGAGTGGGTTGGCGAAGATCTTCCTGGCGGGAGGATCCTAGTTATGCATATATAAACATCTCACTTCCAAATAATTTACTAGATTTCTCTTCCAAACAGTTTCACTGTCAGCCTCCAATGTCAGGACACAGAGATACAGGGAGTCAGCACCTGAGGACAACGCCGGCCGGGGGAGCCCTGCTTTTGCAGACTTGCCGTCGAGAGTGCCACAGACTTGTTTATCGCCGAATTCTCTTATAAATACCATATACCCCCTTATAAATACCATGGGATGGATGAATTTTATTAAAAAGATCATTTTTACCACTGGCAGGGATTTAGATTCATTTCCATAGGAAGACAGGATCACAGGTTAATTTAGAACAAAGTCTTTGCTAATTGTGTTTATGCCGATACCACTAAAAACTGTAATCTGCTGCCACTGTTAGTCGGTGTGGATTCAACCTGAGGTTAACCTCTCCCTATCACCTTGAAAATTATAAATGTAGCAGAACCCAAATTCTTCTCATTTCTAACTTCCGTGAGACCTTTGCCTGACCTGCTGTGTAATTTAGATTGGACTAACTGTACCTGCTGGCTCTGTGTTAAGAGGTACTTCATACATGCTGCCCCTTTAATAATTATTTAACAAAACACTCGTTATGCAATGTACACATCACTCAGTAATGCATAACTTACGTTGTCCATAGTTTCTACTCAGAGCTATCACTATTGGGGTGGATGTGATGGGTCCAGACCACAGGTTTTGGCTCCTACACCAATAGAAATGCAGCAAGGTCAAGGTTATTTCTTTAATTTAACTAGAAACCTACACACAAACCCCTGATTCAATTGGTGCTATGTTTGTCTTTCTATGGAGGATACAGTTTTTGCATTCATTGAAGGATAAATTTCAAAAAATGATCTTTCTTGTTTCGGGATATTCCCTTGTAATATCAAAGTACTGCTATCTCAGTGGTTATTGTGCGGCGTCGTTGAGAGATTTTTGCTCTACTGTTCATGGATTATGATGCATATATTCAGTTCCTGATTTTATATGGAGTATTCTATAGCCACACTCTATAAAGTTATTCTTTGTTGTGTTAAACAGGAGGCACTTTTTGTTGTGTTTTCACAGAACACATTTGAGTTAATCAGTCTCCTGAGGGATCTTGAAATTTAACAGGTGTAAACTAATGTAAACTAATTTTGGAAGGTTTAATGGTACTGAAGCAACAGGAAATATCATCAGAAATAAGTGGTATAGAAATTTGACAAGGGAAAATTGCCTTCTGGCAACTTTGGAAGAAAGTAACAGCAGAATCCAAGGTTAAAAGTCAATCAGACACAGGAGCAAGAAGACTTAACCACTCGCTGGATTCATCTTTTCCAGTAATCTAGAAATAAAATATTATTTCAGAGTACATGGTTTCTTACACTATATATTTATTGAAATCTAACTTCCTCCATGTTCTACTGAGACCCTTGACTGCAGGAGACCGCGCCCAAGCACTGGCCCCGCTGTGTTTACACCTGGACTGTTTGTTGGGTGTATGAACCCTTTTTTCCCCCACTCTATAGGTCCCACTATTGGGTATGGAAAATAATTTATTTAGCTTAACATTTCCAGCAAGTCTTGGCTAATATGTAGCAGTTAATAAATATATTGATAACAAATATTGATATCACGTAAAGCTTCTTTAATAATTATAGTATTAAGAGAAATAGGAGAGGTGGACTCAGACATTTTCTAAAAGGTAGGCACGTTTTCCTGGGACAGGAATGCGACTTCCTAGGAAACAGAGTCGTTTGGGTCCTTTGGGAGCTACCCCCTGAGATGGGGAGATGCTCCAAGTCTTAGGAAAGGGAGGTGTTCGCCCCAGGGGTCAGTGTGAATGGGCCCCTCTTATCTGAATTGCTGATAGTGATCGACATAGTTCAGCGCTACCTTACTGTGTAGTTAGTGCTACAGGTAACATAGACGAGTGTGTGTGGTGGTTATTGTAAATAAATTACCTTCAAGTATATTCGAAATTAGGGCAGGGTAATTCCTAAATAGAGGCTTCTCTCTCTGAACTTTTTCGGTCAGAATCCATCTCTGCTGTCAGTTGAGTGGCAGTTTGTGCTATCATATTACTTTATTTTTTTGAAGATTTATTTATTTATGCATACAAGACCTGGGGTACAGAACAGGCAGACTGACTGAAATACACTGCTGAGGAGAGCAGTGGGCAAGACAGGAGAGGTCTGCTGAGCCATGTGGGTAGCTCCCTGGCTGGGGATCCAACTTGTGTTGCAGAGGCTGCGGATTGCTTCACAGTGCGGTGCTTAACCCCTTGCACCACCAGGGAGGCCCCATCATATTACTTTAAGGACTAAACTTCCAAAGTCCTTCTGTATTTGGGGGCACTGGTGCAGGTAGCACCAAAGGTGATCCAGGCAGGTGCTGGTCTGTTCACTGGCAGGCGTCTGCTATATCTTCATGTGTTGCACAGCCATCTCAGTTGTGCACAGAGACGTGGACCGAGGTGTAAGGACACACCCTCTTCCTGTGTCCCGACGAGGCAATGCAGCTCTTTAGTTCTGCAATGAGATTAAGTGGGGAAGACGTCATGGAATGTTCAGTTGCCAAATTCATTTTCTGCATCATCTCCTTATTTCTGCTTTTGCATTGTATCACTAAGCACTTTATTATTGGGTTTTTCTTTGTGTGGCAATAAAGATGGTTAGTTTAGATAAGAAAAGTTATATAACCTCTGTTATTTTTTTCAAGTTCAAGAATTTCAAAGATCCTTGAGGGAAGTAAAACTTCCCTAGTGAGAAGGGAGAAATTTCTATTCTCATTCAAACCTGCTACCACGCATCACCTCTCATCCTTTATTTTGTTACCAGCCTAATACAGAGTCATTGCTCTTCAGTGAAATGCTTTGATTTTCAATGAAAGAAATATTTTTAACTTCTCCATGCGCTCCCGGATGGAAACTGAACCCACCATCAGAGTTAATCTCTTTCACGCATTTATAATCCGTGTGTCTTTTTTCTTCCTCCTACAGAATCAACTGTCTGCTTGGCTGAACGCAAAGGAGGAATTTCAAATAAGCCAGGTTCAAAAAAAAATAATGCATTTATTACAAAATAAGCCCAATTGGGGCAAGATGTTCAGTTTCAATGCAGTTCAACAAGTCTCCTGTCAAAAAGAGTTACATTTTATCAGGGTTGCCACAGTAATCCACACACTCATCTATTACCTGCTTGGAGTTCAGAGCAAATCTTTTAAAACAAAGAAGAAACACACCTTTTCTTACATAATGCTAGAGATAAGTCATGGTACACCCAAGGCAAAGGATATGGTTAAATTTCATTCTTACTCATTTTACCAAGAAACATGGCTTCATCTCCTCATCTGTGAAAGAAGTGGGTTAATTGTATTGGAAGATCTTTGTTTTCTCATAGATGTAATCTAAAGTGGTTCTGTTCTGCATTCCCGGCAGATGTTTAAAGATCACTCACTTCTTGGGAAATCAAAAAGACTTAAGACATGTTAATATCTACGTGTTAAGAATAAACTCAGTGGAAGGGTGGGTGGGCATGGACTCGGTGGACAGTGCTGTCCTCTCTCCTACCCTTCCTGGTTAAATACCTTCTAAGCCGGGAAAACGCAGCCTCCTTCAGCGACGAGCGGCTGTTAAAATGACTGCAATGTGGTGACCCTCCATGGCAGAGGACAGCAGCCTCCTCCAGGCTTGGCTTTGTCTTCCCCACCTTGATCGGCTGGGCCTGGCGGCATCCTGTTCTAATTACGTATCCCGCATAGCTCAGCTACCTCTTGCTGTTCCTTTTTTCTGAAATCTGCCCCAGGCTTTCAGATTTCTAGCCATCACCCACGGTCAGGCTGTGCGATCTACTTCATGAAGCCCAGCTTGATATGATTTCTCTCTCGAGACCGTTTCATGCAGCTTTATATCATAGTTATTCTTGCCCTCTTTTCATTCCCCTTTTGAAATTTAAGTTTTATAAACTCTAATCGTGAGTTTGACTCATGTTTGTTTTCTCCTTCCTCCCTTACCGTAGCTCTTAATGAAAAGCCCATAAATGGGAGAGTAAGAGTTATGCAGAGAATATATGTCCCTCAAATTTATCTCCTCTCTCAAGGCATCCTTTTCCCTGGACTTCAGAGGTTTGAGAGAGGTCACCCCCGAGCAGATGACATGCAGTAGGTGGTGTTGAAGTGAATGGCTTGTATTTTAACATGTTCTAGAAATACTTCATTTTCTCCAGAATGAACACACATCTTCCAGATAACATTGTATCTTATATATGTTTGCATAGATAGTTTTCATTCTTCATTCTAAATCTCGTGGCATGACCTACAACATAGTATGTAAATATTCTGCTATTGGTAGGTGCGACCGAACACTATGGATATTACGCACCATGGAGAGAGGATGTTTTTGTAGATAAGACTTCTAAGAGTGGATGTACTGGATGAAAAGATATGCATGTCTTTAACTGACAGCTTTTGTCAAGTTATTCATCCCAAACTCTTAGCAGTAGTGGGAGAAAGTCCCCGATTCTCCACACAAATGGCAACCTCCGTTGTTAACAGCCTTTGCCCATTTTGCAATTTCATGGGTAAGGTGTGGAGTGTGCTGTGTATGTTCTTGTGGCTTCTATTGTCTGAGCATTCATGATATTCTTCATTTCTCTAAGTCTTAACTTTCATTTCTTTAATGCTCATCAGGAAAATACTTCTTATCCACAAACATGTCTTTCCTTGGATTTCGATTATTTCCATTTTCCAATGACATTTTGTAATTTTCTTCATCAAGGTCTTGGGCATTCTTGTTTTATTCATTCCTATGCCCAATTTGTTAACAAATGTAAATTGAGGCTCATTTTCATTAGTTTTCAGTGAAATATTGCTGTTTCATAGGTTAATTATTGAGTTTTGTCTGCAGTTTTCTGCCAGTCACCTTACTGAGTATTCTTGTTTGTTATGACCCTTAGTTGATTCTCTTGGATTCTGTGGTAGGCAATTAAATTATTTACCATTAGTAATAGCAAATTGAATTTTTCCAGTAATTTAAACTATTTTTAAATTATTATCATATTCTTTGGAATTTTAGGGCTACTTAAGATAATGTTGGCATACTGTGCAGTCCTAAGACATTCTTCACTGTTCCTTAACTTCAGTGAAATTCTTCTAATTTCCTTCAGTAGTTATGTTGTTTATAGCTGGCTTTTGTTATATAACCTTTATCAAATTAAGGAAGTATCTATATGTATTTTCTGAGTTAGTCATGGTTGTTGGCTTTTACCAAATGCTCTTTTGCCATTTGGGAAGAACACCCTCTGCTTTTCTCCTGAGATTGTCTAATATAGTAAATTACAGTCATTCAATTTTAAACCTTCAA